ATATTCTAACTGTGCAGTCTCGCATATGGGAAGTTGACCTAGTCCAATCGGCTTGGTAAGAATAAAGGCTAAATGTGAAGCAAAGTGGGGTTCAAAATATTTTAGTGACTTATCTCTCAAAATCAGGCACAGGTCATTACATAAAAGCAATGGAGAAGGGAAACAATTTATGCATACAAGACACATTCTTCCATATCCTACTCAACCCATCTCTTTTGTAACTTTCTCACTTTCACTCTCACTTTAAACACCATTCACTTCAACTTCTTTTTCTTTTCTGGAAATGATCTAGGGAGTTTCTTCGTAGTACTCAGACATCTACTCTCTTTTTCACACTCCTTTTTGGTTTTGGATTTCTCTGTTTTTACTAGGAATCTCTTTACTTAAACTTTTAGCTTAAGAGTAGTGCCTCCTTTATTTACTTCTCTCCCTAGACATACTTTTCCTTTTTCTTAACCTTTTTGATTACTTTCTTTCATTCTCACACAACCATCTTTTCGGTTTTTTTCATTCCTTTCTTTCCCCTCTCAACTCTCACTCCACTATGTATTCACTACCCATCCCAGAACCATCTTTAAACTGGTAAAGCATCAAGAATCACTCAACCCACCTAGAATAGCCAGTATGACTACTCATAATGGAAGAATGATACTTGTATTTTCCATCTCAAGAGATTTTATGCATGAGGTGCAGATAGAAAAGGCCTCACTCAACAAACAGATATTGGTTTCAAAGAAAGGTCAAGGTAATGTAGGGTATGGTACCATCCTCATTCAAATTATGTACTTGAATCGGGATGGCCATTCAAACCATTGGAGAGGGGTAAAAAAAAGATAAGATGGTTTGAATGTGTGTATACTGACCATGGTTAAGGTCTAAAATCCCATAAGCGAGCGAATTAAAATTCAATTACAGTCAAATCAGGGTGAAATTAGCTTCAAATCAAACAAGTGATCAGCAGGAGTTAGGGAATCTAGAGCGAAGAGATCAGAGATATGAAGAAGCAAAAACTTTCACGGTTCATCTAGCAAGAGAGAGGCATTATCAAGACATTCACAAAATGATCTATGTACTGAAAACCTATGCAATGTATTGTTATATAATGTAAATGGAAATGCATTCCTAGTATGCTTCTAGACTCAATCTTATATGAAAAGAAAACAAAAAGATGCAGATGGGATGCGACTATATGCATG